GCCGCAAACGGTTAATACCCTCACGGGCGGTCGAACTAATACCTGGCATGAGGGTATGAAAACCTCAGCCAAGACACTGGGTCTCATAGGCACTGCTGGGTTTCCTGTATGGGGACATTTAGTTCAGTGTAGCCGGTAGTTAGAGAAACTAAGTGATATGACTCGGTGTCGCAAACAGCGGCGCTCGTGCATTTATTCATTATTCTTGCAACCCCCAGTCTATATGAATTCTTTCCCTTCTACGATGGAACAGTTTGTGATAACCGACAAAGAGCACTGGATAGCTTTTCCTTCCTGTTTGAGACTCGTCAGCAGTACCTCCAAACAATTGAATGGGCTAATCTAAGCTTGATAAACTCCGTATGCTCTATGACTCCGCTCGGAACATTCCAATCTTTAGTCTGTTTTCTTATCCAAATGGGAAGCCAAAAGACAGCAACGAAAACCGGTGTGCGAAAGAGCATGGCACATCGTTGTAAAACTGAAAATAAAACTGATATTCTTGCTGTATTCAGCCACTGATGTCTCCGAAGCATTTCTAGTGTCTGGCGAGAGCATCGGGGTGAGCAGTGACAAGATTTGTCGTCGTGTGTTTGGTATCGTAAAAACGACAAGCTAACAAACAAATATCAAAAAGTGAACGGTGAAACACAAAACAATTTGCTATTCATTTATGTGCTATTTTTCATTTTAACTGTCTCATCTTCCTTTCACTCTGTACTGTGTCCCAATGCACTCATTCTTTGTGTTTGTTAATGTTATTACCCAGGTAGCTCGTCGTAGGCTAATAGGGTGCTAAAAGCCGGCTAGAATGAGCTACATTTTTAACATTCCATTTTATGATATCCGTCTTTTATCATCCCTAATCCCATATAAACGCCATATTTCCTCACGGTATTACTAACTCGTAATGGGTTTAAGCACATGTTTTGTAATCATTACAACACACTTCATTGACTAATTACATAAATCCATTTTATCTTCCCTCACCACTACTGTATCATGCTAATCCTAATTTAGAGATAGCTTCAATCAAGCTTCTACTGTAATCAGAGGCTTTCATGCAGATTATTGGGCGTATTATAGGAGACCATTTATGCACTGATATATATTATAACAGTTAAAGGGTATAATACATTTAATGTGTAGTTATTTCGTGTCGGAATTTTTCGGTGGCAATTTTGTCCGCCATATTTTTGAACCACCGGCGTATTTCGCGTTCAACACAATCCATTGAAACATCAATAAATCTGGGGTTCATCCGAACAGCATCTAATAAAGTGATGCATATCTTATTATAGTTATTTACCGATAACACCGGTAATAAACAGACTACCGGAGGCTTGTATTTTCCCGTGTTATCCAGTGTAATTCATCAACACAGATAATGTCGTAGACATGGCACGTTTCACTGCATGTGTCACGTGTTTTCCATCGAGTTGCATCAATTGTTTCACCTAAGCATTCAATAGATAATATTACTTAAACCTACAATCATATACACTATCATCTGACATAACTCTTTCCAATTCTTCCAGTTGCTCCACGTTGAATTTACACTGAAGGAAATAGGCTATAACTATAAATGAAAACAGATTACGAATAAAATACATGTTTCAAAATGAATCAACCTATTGATCTTGGACACCTTGTTCTGTGTTCATAAACACTTGCCTGGCCACAAACCGGGAACTTGTTGCATACGTTGTAGCGACGACATTTCCGGCAAGATATGGACGACATTTTTAGAAGCTAAATAAAATTGTTTTTTGTATGATTACTGAAATAATTCACGGAAAAAATTGGATAGTTGAACCAAAAGCATCAACAATGAAATAAATGTATCACAAAATTTTTCTTACCATACGATAGACGTTAAGAAGTAAGAGCTTCCGCACAACAGAATCCAAGAAAAACCCAGCACAAGAAAAGTCACTCAAACTATAATTTCCCGCCGTAAATAAAAACAAATATCACGAAAGTTTGACTCCAAAAATACAAGCACATTAATTTAGGATTGGAAATGAGTCTTCAAACCAAAAACGAATATTATGAATACATTTCAAAGGTAAATTACGGTTGAGTAACAAATGTAGCTCATGTAGCTCGTGAGAAGTTCTCTGTAGCCAATTGATGCACTAAGTTCTGCTGCCAGAGTATTGTTGTGGCGTTGGCATCATGCTCGTACGCAAGCCCGTTGTATATATATATATATATATATATATATTGTTGTAGGGTTGTATGCCTAGTTAACCAAAACTGCACCATCCATTTTACTCTAAAGAAACGTCACAGACCATCCTCGATCCATGGTTTTGCAGCAGCCCTCAAAATATCACATTTACCGTAGCGTTCATTGTAAAACCCCACAATTTAGGTTAGCTACCACCAGCTGACCGTTCTTTGTCGCTGTTACGCATGATGAAAACAACCTACGGGATTTTCATTTTCTCACCCGATACGTCACTAATATTCGCCTCAATGACAGCCATGCATGTCGTGGTAGATTGCTAAGTTCTCCGAAGTAGTTTCATCCAGTATACCAACACATCTCGGGTTCACTCCACGAGAAACTACTGGTGTGAACCACCAGTTAATCAATTTTGCTATTGTGAAACTGATGCAAATTCATCGGTAGTAATGCCGTACCCAGAAAAGACCATCAGTCATTGGAATGAAAACATTGGCCATAAATTCCTCTCTCATGTGATTGGACTTTGAAGCACCATTAGATAAAACACACCTGTGTTGATTGATGTCGACGAGCGTTATCAAACAAGTAATTCTGCTTTTGCTTGGCTTCCTTAGTAAGCCTATTTGAAACTAGCGGTTCGTTTAGCAGAACCGAACGGTGCATCTAACAGATACCCGTCAACTAAAACGTCACTAGTGGGTTTAACTGCAAGAAAGCAAATTTTACCCTATTAGTTTCAAACATGCATGTCGAGTACAATCAAGAATTAGGAGTGTCACGTGATTCAGTGCATGATACATGCACCTTTGCAAATAAGCCATTATCGATCACAGCTGGGCTTTTATCCTGGATATTCTTCAAGTTATTTTCATGCACATAAAACCTTTCCCATTCTCACAGAATAGTAAAACAAACCACATGGAGATAACTAATTCAAATGGGTACAAGTTACTAAGATGT